AGATGGTAGGACGTGACATCAAAGCGTATATGTAAAAAAACGATACCTGAAGGGCGCACCCGCGTGCTACCGCCTCATCTGCATTCAGAGTCGCACTACCCTCCTTCCCAAAGACCTCCTTCACCAACGCCTTCACCGCAGGAATACGAGTGCCGCCTCCGACAAGTTCAACTGAGTAAAGACATTCTGGTCCCAGCTTTGATAGAGACAATGCCTTCTCCATCGTTTGCTTAACCCTCGACAGCAAACTGCTACAAATTTCCTCAAAAAACTCGCGCTTCATCTTCGAAGAGACATCTGTATCTTCCATAAGACACTCCACGTTAATAGGAATTTCAGTGGAGTTTGTGCTCATGATTTTTTTTAGGCGCTCACAACTTTTAAGCAATCGCACACGGGCTTTTACATTCGACATCACCTTCAGATTATACTTGTCCTTAATCTCTTCGACTAGGTGTTTGAAAATACACATGTCGAAATCTCGACCGCCCAAGCAGGGATCGCATGCAGTTGAAATGACTTTCATTTTACCGGCGTTGAACGCAACGATAGCAACTTGGAGACTGGAATTCCCCAAACTGACGAAGGCAACATTTCTAGATGGTTGATCAATGGCTGGCAAATCCTTCTTCGTAAGGCCATAAGCAATCCCGACTAAAAAAATATTGCTTCAAACGAATCAACCTTACTTGCAGTCGTTTCGTTCACAAGCCGCATACAATTTAGACCAGCAATTCTCGAAGCGTCAAGGAATGCACGTCGTTCGCGATCCGTGTAATAGGAAGGAACACTAAGAACAACATCGACAACCTTCATCTTCAAGTTGGATTCGGCAATAAGCGCAAGTTTGTGCAAATGCATGGCCAGGATTTGCTCAGGAAGAAGTACCGTAGGTTCACCATTAATTTTAACCTTAAGGACCATAAACTTACTAAGCTAACAATACCTCAACAGCGGCCCTCCCCTGAGTATCCGGAACAATGTGGAAGAATGTATGCTCACGCTCAAAATTAACAGCAGGATCACCCTCCATCTTTCCAATAAGACGAGAAAAGGACGTCACAGTGTTAGCAACATTTGTTACCATCTGCTGCTCCGCAGCAATTCCAAGGAGTCGAGCCTTACCACTGAATGCAACACATGATCTAAAGAAAAAATATAAAAATTCACACACTTACGGAGTACACCTATCACTGACTTCATTAGCCAATATCTCGACCCCACCACCCTTTGCGGCTCCAATAAAGCTAGTAAGACTGCCAACATCAAAACCAACCACAGCCGACGACATACTACCAAGCTAGCTACTAGAACAGTCTGGAAAAACTATAAAACGCTCGAATTTGTTTCGCCTAACAATCGCTCATTAAAACAATATACATGATTAAAAAATACAGGGCAAAATCAGCGATAGTTTGGCAAACAAATAAACTGATTATTTTTCTGTAAAAACAATCAATTTTTGTGATTGATTTAGTCTAGGGTAATTCCTTCATTTACTCAACCAGAGGAGCTAGAAGAGGACGACTTAATTTGGTTGGCTTCCTTCGTGCTTTCATAGGT